CTCAATTGAATGATTATGTTCCTCTCTTATTAAGTTAGTATTGGAAGTTTCATTTGTTTTTTGAGCTCAAGTATTAATAAATATTCCTTGGACTATTGGTGAAGTAATGCTAGTTTAACTAGAAGTGTGTGGGGTGCTTAACAACTTCTCGCACCATACCTTGGTCCCTGGACCCTAAGAATATAATCTCCATTGAGTTACTAGTCACCAAGAAAACAAATTGTTTTTCTTGCAAAACCCCGGGTTTTCCTAAATTCCCAATTCCCAAAAATTTAAGTGGCGACTCCATTACCACATTATTGAAATAATGAAAAATAGATTAAATAATTTAGAGGTGTTGAAGCTTTTGAGTAACAAAAATGTGTGATAATTGTCAAAAAAAATATTATTTTAATATATATAAAAAATAGAATAATATTTCAATTATTAATGTACTGATAACAAAAATGTTATTTCACTTATATCAATTAATAATTCTAGAAAACAATTTTCAAAATGATAATAATTTTTAATAATAGTTTTACAATCTTTATCTATATATATTATATATTTATATATACTAAAATTAATATTTATTGTATTTTTGTGATAAATATATTTTCAATAGTTATGTATAAACCTATCATTGATCTACATACCAACCACATGGGTTCAGCCTAGCCTTTGTTACAAGGCCTGGCCGAATTCACTACTGAATACAGTGAACCCCTGAGTCCATCACCATGGGCTCTTAATGGGCCCAACATTTACACTAAATGGTCATTGGGTCTAGCCATCTTATGAAGGCCCAAGGACTGTGGGCAGATGAAAGATTAGCCCATCAGGTATAACCCTCAATGGTCTTACACTTAACCTCTCAGCCCATAATGATCAAACACTGTCTGACAAGAGAGGACCTCTCCCTCAGCTGCAAGGTACAATGCTGCACTCTCTACTCACATGGATCCCGGGAATTAAAACCTTTTACAAACATTTTGAAACCATAATATATGTATATCTCTATATAAATATATTTTGTAAAAACAAATTTCAATGAATCAACTGCCAGCAGTTTAGGTTTCCATTAGAGAGAGTGCATCCCTGATCATTCATTTTGTTCGACAAAGGGGCTGATCTTATCACTATGATCACCCCACTTAGATGAATTCTTGGACTGTCCCAATATACCCAAGTTTTGACACTCTCTAAGGATCTCATTGATTGGCATATCAAAGACCGTCCAATCCAACACTTAATGCAGTATCATAATTGAGTATAGAGTCAGATGTAACATTCCAGTTTTGCCTATCTATCTCCAAGGTCCAGAGCAATACTAGAATTTTGGTTCCGTTCATGGTTTCAAGAAAACCCACACTGAATGTACCTTATGTCTCACCTTGGCAGCTGAGACAAGCCACCCCAACCAACTTGGCGGTACATCAGTGTCAGCCTTGGCAGGATAAATCTCCCCAACTCTATCCAACGGCTGTGAAGATTCTAAACTAACACGAGTCTCATATGTGCTTAGTTTAAGGGTATTACACAGAAACACACCATAATAATATGAATCAATTATATACTTTATTCATTTACAATAAATGTCAAAAAATGCATCAATCTGATTGGAGCTAAGGGCATAACTGTCTAACAATTATGTCCCATTAAAGTTGGCTCATCATTTTAAGGTTGCTAGTAAGTATGCATGTGCATTGCACATGGGAATTCTAGATCATGATAATAATAGTAATAATGTAACCAAAAATTTTCTAAAAAATTCATGTATTTTTAATTTTTTATATATATTTTTTCGTTTTTCACTATTAATCAGATGTAGATTGTAAAATCTAAGTCTAATTATGAAACACCTTATATTGGGCTTCAAAGTTTTGGGTATCATTGAAATCCTACCTACATGGTGGTCTTCTTTTTGTAATATTTTGTTTTCTTAGTGTATTTTTTTGTTCATTTATCAAAAAACTGTAAGATTTAAAGAGAGGGAATTGAATGATGTGAAAATTATAGTTCAAACTACATTTTAAACCTCACAATTAAATTTGAAAAATGGGTATTTTATCAAAATAAAAGCTCCACAATCTTATTCAAATTTTTAATAGTAGTGCAAATATGTAGTTATATATGTGTTCATTTTTTTTATTCCTATGTATGTAAAAATAATATTATTATGTACACTTTTTTTTATTTAATATGATAAATATATGATATTGCACATGTGCCCTTTTTTTGTTAAATTTATGTATTTTTTTTATTTTTGTGTTTTTATATTTTATTAATTTTTATTATTTAATTATGACATTAAAAGTTGACAAATCTAACCCAAAAGTTGAACTATTAATCTCCACTAAAAAGGAAAATAATTTCATTTTTGGTTAGTTTTAGATTATGTATTTCATTTTCATTATCAATAAAAATAATTCTTGTTTATTACACTTATTTTTTAATTTAATTAATAAAAATATCATAAATGTGTCCAATTTTTCTACACTTTTGTAGTTTTCTATTTAAAATTTTTATTATCTAACTATAACTTCATGGGTTGATCAATTTGATTCGGATGGTTAAATTGCTTAGTCATCACTTGGGTAAAGAATGACTTCATTCTAAGTAAGTTTTAAAAATATGGGTTTATATTATTAGAAGTATTGGACATAGATCTAATTAGTAGCATTTATTAGTGGATAAATAACTTAAATATAGAATTTAATAAAAGAGAATGTGAGTTAATACCTTAAATATAAGAATTAATAAGAGGGGATTAAATGAGGTGAAAAACATTAATTGAAATTACATTTTCAACCTTCATAATTTGAGATGGACTATACAACAAAATGTGGGCATTTTAGTCAAGAAAAGATCCACACCCTCATTCGGTTCATGCATCTAACTCATGAAAGGAATTATGCTGCATTTGGCATTCCTTATTTTAAGGACTTATCTACTGTTTGCAATTAAAATGCACCTATTAACATTGGGTTTTTAACAACAAAAAGGAGGTAACTCTTTAAAATAAGGAATGCCAAATGCAGCCTTAGTTTACATGAAAATGGAGTCTGGATCTCTTGCCCACACAAACTCTGCCCACGTTTATCGTAGTCACACAAGGAGAACATCTCAACCTCTGCATAGTATTATGCAGGGGGAGATGTTCCCAATTCACGGGATTAGTGTGCTATGGGTAGACATGGGCAGGAGATCCGGAGTCATGAAAATGGTGTCACAGTTGGTGCAACTATAAAAGAAAAAGGATAAATATAAATGGCTCAACCACTGGTCGAATTGTCGGCCTAGATTAACAAAAAAATGTTTATATCATACATTAGTAAACACTGCAAAAAAAATAAAATAAATAAATAAATTGACTACATATTAAAGACACAAGCATGGTTCAAAGGGATAATAGACTTGAAAACAAAACAAAAGAGTTACCTTTTGAAAATTGAGTTAGGACTTGAGACATCTCCTAGTGGCTTCAAAAGTGGCTTGATGTCCTAACTCTCAAGATTTATCATATCGGCGACCCTAAAATCCGATATGATATGCCTGATACACCCTGTTCTGTATACTTTGAACCTTGGATATAGGGAAATGGAGGCATGGCACCGAAGCTCAGTAAGTGCAGCCTTGGCGTGGTAAGACCAATGGACCTCATATGCACCCTACTGTATCCATCCTTTAGCCTTTGTTTGGGAGTGTTTATCTGATAAATAAGTGTTTAACAAATAAAAATTAGTGTTTAATAAGTGTTCATGAGTGTGACTCCAGATTTCCTGCCCACAAGAACTCTACCGACGTCTACTCACAACACATTACCTCCGTGCATTGGGAACATCCCCCCGTATTGCATAATACTATGTAGGAGGATGAGATGTTCCTCATGAATGACTGCAATGTTATGTGAATAGACATGAGCAGAGTTCTTGTGGGCAGGAGATCCTCACTCCATGAATGTTTGGTGAAAAGTCACTTATTTCAAATAGGGGTAATATAGGCATTTTCAAAGTGACATGACAACCAAGATCAACTCTAAAGGAAATAAATAAATAATAAACACTTAAAAATAAGTTCAAAATTTGGGCTTCTTAAATAAATGCTTATTTTCAAGAATAATCAGTTATTTGGACTTATTTCCCAAATGCAAACAAGTACTTATTTTGTGTGGTCCCAAGTCCCAACCCAAAATAATTGCTTATTCAAATAAGCACTCCCAAACATGGGCTTAGTCCTTTGCATTTTGAATAAATCACTTTGGCTCCTCAAGTGTGCATTGTGGGGACATCTCTTGTCACGAGGAAATATTCCCAATACATGCTAAAGTCCCATTTTATTTGTGAAAATAAAAGTCTGGAATCAAAATTGTAATAGATCATTTCAATTCCAACTGTTTGATTGGGCAAGAATCGAAATCCCATTTCCATTCCTGATGGAATGGTATTCTCCCTTTGAAATAATAGCCATTATCTCCCTCGCCATTGGAAATGAGATCACATTTCAACTGACTTCAATTCCTCTCCATTTCCTGTCTGAAACAAAAGACACTAAAAATAAACTACTCGGCCGATTCCAATTTGGGGTCGGGTGTGGGATGCTATTAATTTGTGGGGACCGGGGAGCCAGTCCTGACTCGTGAATCATGATTGTATGCCGTGCTCAGTCAGACTTTACGGTTTTTACTTTCAAGAAAATCATATCCCCGAGGTGGGGCCACAATAATACATCGAAGGCAATGGTTCACGCTTTTAGCCCTGCACACTAGAACCGTGTGTCCGTGTCGCAGCAGAGCAGAAGTGAACTCTAATCTGAAATAGGTAAGTAGGTAACACTTAAAAAATAAAAATAAAAATAAAAAATAATTATAGATGCCCGGAATATTCCGGACTTTCCATTTCTTTCTCTGACGGTACAGACTACAGAGTAATCGCAAAAAGATTTAGCTAAATATAGGGAAAACGTTTTCACTGTTTTCACTGTAAATTAAAGAAACACTGTCAAAAGTAGTAGGACAGCAAATCAGAAAGATCGTTGTCGATCCAATTAAATCTGCTCTACTCCCTATAAATACTTGGCGAAAGCCTTGAATCCAATTCAGCCAAAGACCAAAATCCAATCCCAAATTCTACAAACAAAGATCTCATCGCCAAGATCTCTTCAGAGCGACCCCAGAAAGGAACGGATGTGCTTGGTGGCTGTGTGCGATAAACAAGAGAAGGTGTTGCAGACACAGACAGCTCCCGGTGAGTGTCCGTATTGTGGAGGAAAGGTGAAAGCCGTGGACGTTGAAAGCCAATGGAGGCTGTGTTTACTGCCTCTTTGCTTTAATCCCAAGAGGAAGTTCTTCTGCAACATGTGCAACAGACGCTTGGTTATCTACCATGGGGAAGGTTGAATTGAGGGAAACATGATCAGGTCGTTGACAGGACTGAAATGCATCTGCTGGTTTAGTTTTTGCTGGCTGAAGACATTAATATGTGAAGTGAGTTCTTATTGGGTATCCCAATTCAAGGCTCCAGATTGTTGAATCTGATCAGAACCGAGAAGAGATGATAACCCAGATGATTTTTTCTTAATTTCCGCCTCTTATTCACTATGTATCAGTGAAGAGGAAGAAGAAGCTTTCTTTTGGTTGCTGCTGCTTTTCTTTAAGGAATAGATGGGTGCCGTTGATGAGCTGCTTCAGTTTGCTACTTCCATTCCATCTCTTTCTTTCAGTCTCTGTGGAATAGAGGGCTTTAAATTGTTATATCTGCATTTTAATTCTTTCCATCTTTCTCATTACTCTTAACAAAGTCTGCACTGAATCAAGGAGCAGCCATTTGTGGAAATCGTTTGAGGTTCGAGGGTATAGATAAAATGGGTTCGTGAAACCCATTTGACTTCTGCTTTTCTAATCTCTTTCTCAGTAAATCTTACCAAAATAATGCATGAAAATTAAGATTTCATATGTTCCATTTACTAATGTTACGTTGCCAATGCAATATTACATATAAATTTGTTTCCAGTAATTGAAATTAAATAAGAAATTTGTAACAGTTGGCATTTGCTACCCACTTGCTTTATTGATTGGGAAGATTTCGATTTGCAGAGAGTTCTATCTTCCATAGTTATCCATTGAAAGCTAAAACAAGTTTAGGTTAATCGACTTAAGGGGCTAAACTAGGTTAAACCTTTGGTGGGTTTATTTTTATTTGGCTTAGGTTGCATTATATGGGTTGAAGACACAAAAACATTCTGATCCAATTTCTAGGAGGTTACTTCAGTAAATCAATCAATTTCAAATGATGACAAAATAGAACCGAGTGCCATGCAAAATTGAAATGAAATGATCCTATTTAGTATTTAATGTGTTAAAACATGTTAATGTTATGTATGAGCAGATGATTTTAACTTCTCAACATATTCTCTGTCATTGTGATTTAAAAATTGATCCTAGATTTGTGCTGTTAAAGCATTGAATTTCATTTAAGTTCCCTTTGGTTCGCAGTTGGAATCTGAATGGAAATCCTATAGAATTGAAATTAGAATGGTCTATTCCCATAATTTATCAGGTTCAAATAGGAATGGGAATGAAAAATAAGATTAGTAGGAGTGGGATTTCATTCCCAAGGGAAAGGAAAGGAATGGCTATTTCCTTAAATGGGAGAATGTCATTCCATCACGAATGGAAATAAAATTCTGGTTCTACTCAATCAAATGGTTGGAATCGAAATAACCCATTCCAATTATATTCCGTTTTTAAACCCAGATTTCTGTAAAACAAATGGGGCCTTAGTTTATTGGGTGTAAGATTTTGAGGCTGATATGGGATTTTACAACTAGACCAAAAGGAAAAAAAAAAACACAAAAAAACAAAAAAATAAAAAACAGATCTGAGAACTGCATCTGAATGGTGTTTAGATTACTAGCAACGAAATGAATTTTAAGACTTGAGTAAAAGAAACTGTTGAATAGTCTATCAGAGCATTTAATCAAACACAGGATTGTAGATTGTGGCATGACCTCAATGCTAAACATATGGGTTCGGATGTATAGGTAAGCACAACGACCGAAATCCAAGAAAATCATCACCAGTCGAATGCTAACAATCTCAGATCGGATCGAATTGAAAGTCTTTTGCAGCATCATTGCTCAGGCCAAACATGTCTCTTCTCCTCTACGATTTCCCCTTTTTCATTTTTTATTTATTAATTCTAATAGAACAAAAACATTTAGCAATCATTGTGCTTACCTAACGTACCCACTACATCTGGACCCAACATTTGTAACCTATGAGGACTAAACCTGTTTATTAGTTCCTTATTTGTGAATTCCACACGTGAAGTTCCAGGACTCAGTAAATAAGGATAAATAGAGACTGTCACAACTGTTTTCAATGGCAGCTTTTTTTTCCAGGATTGGAATTTACGGTTAGACCCCCTGTGAAGAAAAAGGGGGTAAACTGCTGAAACCTCCCTTCAAATACTTCAAGTTGTTGTTGAAAGCCTAAAACGGTAATTGCAATCGTCTTCCCTGAATTTTATAATATAGTTGCAAGTAGATCTCCATCTTATAATTAAAAAGATGTATGAAAATGTCCAAAATACCCATACAATTATTTTTGGCAAAAAATGTTGAAAAGTTGATTTATTTTTCAAGTTTGTCCTTTATATCAATCACTCAAATGTAAAGTTCAAACTTTAAATTATCTCTTATTTTGTTGTTCATAAAGTTTGTTTTGTTTTTTTTTTTTAATAAAAACCAGCCTCAATAATAACGTCATGGGTATTCTGAACCGTATCAGGGGAAGTTTCAACAATGGTCAGAAATTTTAGGGGATGTTCTATCACTTTATCCAAGAAAAAAAAGAAAAAAAAAGAAAACTGAAATAAGTGAAATGAAGAGATATCCTAATCTGCCACGTTGAAGACCATGAAGGGCCCACTTGATTAGCCACATGTTCAATCTTATGATCCACGTCGGCCATAGATTATTTTTATTTGAATATAAAATTTATCTAAAAAAGATTTATTTTGCATGTATATAGCAGGGGGGTCTTTCTGACCAAAACATTGACGACCAAAAGATATTTTTGTTCCGAACAGTTAATAGCTGATTGAGAGTCCGAAATCACAAACACCTCCCAACTCTGTTCATCATCTGCCACCAACAATGATCTTAGGGATAGCCCCCATCTCAGCCTCAACGTTTTATTACCCTCCAAATTAAACACAGCAACCTAACGAATCATTGAGAATACTACCATCATCACATTGTAAAAGTTCAAAATCTTGAGTTAAAACATAATTTCAAATCAATCGATCCTTCCTGATTTTTCTAAGACACCACATTAGAATCAACAGGAGCAGCAGGAAGAGTTTCACTAATCCTCTCCTCCCAAGAATTGGGATCTGCTTCTCACATAGCACTCTTCACACCGATTTCACAGCCACTTCTCACTGTGTATTGAAAACATCTCTCATGAAATAATAATAAACAAGAACAAGAATTGTTCTTGGTGTGCGACAGAAATATGCTATGAGGTTGGTGTGAGGAGAAGGTTCAGACTCCCCTCCCAAGACCCTAGATAATTATGAAAACATTTTCTTTGACTGTATCACATGTTACACTAATGAAATGTAAATACACTAATGTTTGAAAAAAAAAATAAAAAATCAATTGATGACTTGATGTGATGCCTTGAATAAATCTGCTTCTCACAGAGCCCCACATTCTACTGTGTATTAGAAACATCTCTCATGAAATAAACAAGAACGGGAATTGTTCATGATGTGCGACTGAAATATGCCGTGAGGTTGGTGTGAGGAAAAGGTTCAGACTCCCCTCCCAAGACCCTAGATAATTACCAAAAAATTTTGTTTGACTGTATCACATGTTACACCAATGAAATGTAAATACACCAATGTTTGAAATAAAAAAAATCAATTGATGACTTGATGTGATGCTTTGAATAAATCTGTTTCTCACATAGCACTCTTCACACTGACTTCACAGCCACATTCCACTGTGTGTAAGAAACATCTCTCATGAAATAATAATAAACAAGAACAGGAATTGTTCCCGATGTGCGACGGAAATATGCTATGAGGTTGGTGTGAGAAGGTTCAGACTCCCTTCCCAAGACCCTAGATAATTACGAAAACATTTTCTTTGACTGTATCACATGTTACAACCAATGAAATGTAAATACACCAATATTGTTTGAAATAAAAAAAAAAAATCAATTGATGACTTGATGTGATGCCTTGAATATATTGCAAATGCTGGCATGTTGACATTTTATTGAGGGCCTCCGGATTGTCCTTGGGTTATGGCCTTTTGAATGAATCAAGATGTCCTACTCATAGGACATTACATTTGTATATTGAGAACATCTTCTCATGAATGGTAATATATCAGAGGATGTACAACCGGTCGGTTAGGTTCAAACTGAGGACCTAACTGACTATTTGATTTTACCATTTCCTCTAACCAAATTCGGTTCGGTTTGGTTCAGTTGGATAGTTTCACATAAATTGCAAACATTTAATAAGTGTTATTAATGAAAAGTTAAAATGGCCCCAAAGTCCAATGGTTTTAATTAATTAGCTATGATTAATTAAAAGTTAAAATAGGCCCAAAACCCTATGCCAATGGAGAATTGGGGAATTGGCCATTTTCAAAAGTAATTAATGAATAATGAATAATTAATGACTAATAAATAATTAATAATGAGTCTAGGTTTTAATAAACTATTATTAATTGTTCATTGGAAAATATAGTAATTAATTAGAAGAAAGCATTAAATAAAAAATTAATGTTCAATATACTTAACTAAATAACAACATTAATTTGGTTTTCAGTTCAGTTCGGTTGAAAATTTCAATCAAATACGGATAGCTGAATTCACTGAACCGAATTAACTTATTCGGTTTGATCCTATTAGGTTTTTGGTTTATCAACCGAATATAAACACCCCTAATAAATAAATATGGTAGATCCCAATATACAACTATAATGTCCCGTGGGTAGGTGTGTATAGGATCCTTGTGGGCAGATCGGAGCTCTTTTTGAATGGAGAGTCCTAGTTATAGGTGATTTTTGTCTTATGCGTGTGTTTATCCACCTACCATTTTTTGAAAATATTTTTGCTTATCGTTAGGTTTTAAATAGTCATTCACATTACCTATTGGCAAACATGGAGGGAAGAAATTCAAGCAACAGATTGGTTAGCCAATTTGAGACAAATGATGAATTTGGATTTAATTTGTAATTTCCTTTTTCTTTATCATCTCTCTCTCTCTCTATCTATCTATCTATCTATCTATCTATCTATCTATATATATATATATATATATAGATATATATATATATATAATATATCTGTGTGTGTGCATGCACCCACTCATAAATTTTGATAAATTCCACCTGATTGGTTAGCACATTTATGACATTGGTTGTTGGGTCACAAATTCTTCGGATATCATGTTGAGTCTTTCCGTATCACTAGTTGAACCCGTTTTAAAAATACCAAACATGCATAAAAACATTGAAGAGATGCAAAAAAGAAAAAGATCATCTACAAACATGTTTTAATTATTATTGAAAGTTCCTAAGGTTGAGTTAGGGTTGCAGTCAAATCGAACATAACCCAACCTGGCCAATAGGTTTAGGCCCTTTAGGGTTTCTAGTGGTGCAATTTGATGGATTTTGTTAAATTTTAAATGAAATTTATTGAGGGGTGCAAGGCGGTATGAGCTGGCCAACAAATGTATAGCCTACGGACTAATGAACAGTCTGAATCAACTGGTAGTATCTGTTTGGATGTTAGTATTTGTCATGAAATTGTTTTTCCTTGTTCTTGGAAAGGTTGTACTCCATTTTCTCACTCAATTTGTTTTTTTACAATAATTTGTTGTACTAGTTCCACTCTACCCTCAAAGAAGTACTATGGTTCTTTCGGGTTGGGGTTATTAGGGATTG